TAAAACCAGTCCCCCCTTTTCATTTTTTCTTCTTCTTTGCATTGGATTATGTAACCTACAGCATATCCTCAAGTATGTAGTGAATGAATTTTCCACTAGTCTTCTTCCTCCTACTCCCTCTACTAAAGAAAAACTTGATCTATTTCTAGTCTCCTCTGGAATGAATATGAATGGAAAAGAATTGCCAGCTTATTTTTGAATTCTCATACTTGAAACCTAATTGTGGAGAATTCCACAACAAATCTCTTATTCTTTCTTTTTTAATTTGGTACAGGGTCTCACTACACAGTTCAGGCTCATAGTAATCCTCCTGTCTCAGCTTCCCTGGTGCTGGAATTACAGGCATGGGCCACCATGCCCTGATTTGAGACTGGCACAGCATGCAGTACTAGAGTTTGAACTCAGGTCCTTGGCTTGCCAGGAAGGTGCTTAGACTGCTGAGCTATCGAGCTATCTCCCCAGCCCTTACAGCAGTTCTCTTGAGCCAAAGAAGACAATTAAGGAAGTAAAACATTAGCAGGTAAAATTAGAAGGATTCCAGGCAGGGTGGTACATGATGACAATCCCAGCACTTGGGAGGCAGAGGCAGGATTGCCAGGAGTTTGAGGCCAATAAGGGATACTTAGTGAACTACCCAGCAAGACCCTGTCTCAGGAAGGAAGTCATCTGTGTTGTAAAACAGATATGTTATGTGTCTATAAGTAAGCAGGTATATTGTCTGTCATATTAACATAAATTCACCTTTGATGCCAAAGGTTATAACACACACACACACACACACACACACACACACACACACACACAACTAGTTGCTGAAAACAAAATACGCTGCACATTGTATAGATTAGGTATGATGCATATATATATCCTTTAATTTCTCTATGCCTAGGAAAATATATGTCATCTTCAGATATTTATATTTAATTTTTTCTCTTACCTGATCTGAATTTTCTGATTCGTCTATGATAACCTGAATTACTTACCAAACAAAATTTATAAATATGGACTAAAGTAGCTGCTTAGGCAGTTGCAGGGACTGGGATTCAATCCCCGGTGTGCTATGCTGGCCTGCCCCCGGGTACACTGAGATGGCAACTATGACTGGGCATGGTGGCACGCTCCTGTAATCCCAGCACTTGGGAAACTGCAGACAGGAGGATCACTGCAAGTCTGAGCTGTATAGTGAAACCCTGCATACCCTGTACTAAAAATACATTTTAAAAACTTATAAATATGGGTATGCTTTTTAATCCTTAGTGTCAATATAATGTTTCTTTAGGAAAAGATAAAGAAAGTGCATCCCTTGAGTTGTCTGTGGCTGTTAGGATCAACAGAGAGATTTTCTGAGTTAAAATCAGATAATGACGTCAGCTAGAAATGCAGACGAGTAATCTGTACTCGAAAAACCTGATTAGCGCAGTTCATGTTCTCGTGTACCTCTTATGCTTTTCAGAACTGAAAAGTCCTTCTTATAAACATTAAAAATCAAACAGCAGATCCTGAGATTTGCTGTCTCTATGTAACTGATTCTTAGAATATATTGCCTTTTATTTTAGATCAAAACATCAAAACTCTGTTTGATCCAAGAGAGCCATGCAGACCCAGCATTTACATTTGAAGTCAACCTATGTCTAATCATGGATTTTTTAAAAAAAAAACTCTCTTAACTTTCTTTTCATCTCTGTGATGCAATGAAAGTTACGAGAGTACAACTTCAAGAGCAAGAGCTGTGATTTGTTTCTGAGGCAGGCCTGTTCACCAACACAAGAAATTAAAAATGCAAACACCACCAGCTTGTCCATCAGAATAGCACTGTGAATGTCAAAGCTATGGTGGTACACAGTAAAGTATTCATTTTCCACTCAACAGCAGCATTTTTACTGGGTAATTGGCTTTCTTTGGATTAGAGCTATCCCCTTACATCAGCTAAAAAAGTGGGTCTAAGTTAAAATCACTATCAGTTACTGCAAGAGGTACTCACAAGTCCTAAGTGAAGGCATTAACAATAGAACTCACCAGCAATATTAATCACTGTATCTTACAGTGCTCAAAAGCAGTAATTTGGGAAAAATTGAAAATGCCTACCTAGTTGTTGCTGACATAACGGCAGATATTTCTGAGGATTTTTAGTATAGTTAGCCAATCATTTAATTTTTTCAAAAAAATTAGTTTAGTTTAGTTTTGTTTTTGGCCTGTTTCAGCAAATCCTTTCTAGGCACTGGGTAGACTGGTGAAAATGATGCCCAAATCCCTCTCTTCTTGCAGCTTACATTCTAGATGGAGAGGAAAACCTTATGTGAGAAATCATAATTATAAACAGTAACTAATACTATTATGGAGGATGGTGTTTGAAACAGAATAATGGAGAGAAGTTAGCTTGCCTGGCAAGTCAAGGAGCTCTTCCTTAAAGATGTGGCATTTAGACTACAACCTGACAAAAGAAAGTCACTGATTTTTCCTAATATCACTTGATGAGACTCAAAACATGACCTCCAGCTGGCATCTTGAGAGTCACCATATGACAGTCTCTTATTCACTGCTGTAACCTAGAATCAGCACAATGGCTGGGTCTATGGAAATCAGTGTTAGTTGAAGAAATAAATGAATAAATATGAAAGGGAACAATACAAGCAAAAAAAAAAGTATAAAAAAAGACAGAAAGCTACTAACACAAAGCTTCTTGAGCTGACTCCCATACCTCATTTTTCATGGGCAGTTTTCTATTCCATTTAACTTGAGAAAGGCATTTTCATTAAAAAATTAGACACATTTTTGAAAGTGCTCAATCCCTTGCATGGTGAATACAACGCTCCTAATATCTTAACTCCTGTCATGTGATTGGACACAAATATTGTTGTCCCTGAGATCTAGGAATGAATTCTTTTTTATATTTGTGGCTGTCTCGGCCCACCTTGGGGGTGGGGCTGGTGCGGCACGTGGTACTGGGAATCACGCTGCGGTCCCTGAGCGCTTGCCTAAACCTGCCTAAGCAGGTGCTTTGGAGAGCAGAACTGTCTCGTCTGCCCTAGGAATTAATTCTTTTAAAAATTAAAGTCTAAGGGCCGGCGGTACAGCTCAGCGGACTAAGCGCTTGCTTAGGTAAGCGGAAGAGCCAGGGTTCGATCCCTGGGTCCACAGGCCCCGCCGGCCCCGCCCCCGGGTGCACTGAGCAGGTGATGGAGTCCTGGAGTGGTGGCGCACGCCTGTAATCTCAGCACTTGGCAGGCAGAAATCAGGAAGATCACTACTAATGTGGGCTATGTAGTGAGACCCTGCACACACACACGAAAACTAAAAAATAATAAATAAAAAATAAAAATTATAATCTAGGGGCCAGGGAATTTTGCCTTAAATCTCCCACTCCTGAGGTCATACCAACAGGTAAATTGTCACGTAGTTTGGGTGAATAGAGGAAAAGCAGTTATAAAATTATTCGTGCATAACATATGCTTGCTGCACTTCTGTTCTTTCATCTAGTCCAAATGGAAACTTGGGTTCACACCCACTGCTCATGTCCTAAGTATGGAACTACGAGCAACTTCTTTATATTCTGGGGCTTTGAAATGGGACAGCAATCTAAAGTGCTTCTCTATGACAGTCACCCCACGATTTTAAAACTTACATTTAAAAAGCCAAATGGCATTGAAACAATTGAGTATAACTAACGTAACAAACCGTTAAGCATAGATTCACATTCTCAAGAGTGTCTATTTCTATGAAGGCAGAATTTCTTCCTAGTTTCTTATGGACATTCTGGTTTTGTGGGGGTTTATTTTGTTTTGTTTTGTTTTGTTTTGTTTTGTTTTGTTTTGTATTTTTAGGAAAGGGTCTACAGGAAAGGGTCACTATTATATCAGACTCCTAGTGGTCCACCTGCTTACAGCCTCCCAATATCTGGGATTACAGGTGCACACTACCACACACCCAGTCTCAATTGCCTTCTCAGCACGCCCCTGGGGGTGAGGCTGGCATAGCACTCCTGGGGATTGAACCCCCGGCCCTTGTGCCTGCTTGAAGGTGCTTTAATCTGCTGAGCTATTTAGGCAGCCCTATGGACATTCTGTTTGGTTAGATCAAAACACACAGGGAATTAGCATAAAATATTGCAACACTTTTTTAAAGGAGTTTTAAGTATCTATGTATGAAAGAGTAGATTTCAAGTTTCTAATATGGTTTTCCTTTAAAATAATTTAAAACTAAAACAGAAAATGTCTCCAACATTGCAAAGGGAGTCCCCTAAGGGAGGGGAATATATATATATATATATATATATACATACAGATGGCTGGGAAAGATCACCCACATGCTGAACACAGATCTTGAGGAGGCATTTCTAAGAATGAAGTAGCACTTCCCAGCTTGGGCTACTTCCCACAACAACCCTTATTTAAGCCATGGAAAACATAGCATTTATTTCTCTGGCCGAGAAGAACCTCAGTCATTCGTGTCCCACTTGCTTCATGGTAATCCAAACTGGTTTCCAACTTTCCCCATAGTTCCAAAAGAAGTTCAGTATAAACCACTTCAGACCACCAATCTCCTCCCAGATTCATTATTTTGTGATCATTCCTGATTTAGTATCTTCCCATAAACAGGCCATTAAGCCCGCAGTATATTAAGCAAGCAATTCAACATATGACACACATCTGTTCCACTCTCTTAGTGAACAAAAGTTTCAAGACAACTGAAATTCCAGACTTAATCAACATGAAAAAGATATCTTGGCAATGTTTAAAATGGAGTTTTAAATATAATCCAAATAAGGACAAGAGGGACAAGCTTGCTGCAACTGAACCAAACCTAAATCAGATTCACAAAACTACCTGAGCTGCACCACTAGCCCTTTTGATAAGCCTGTTTGTCTTTCAAGATCATCAACACTGACTTTAGTCATCCTCATACACCTCACCCAGAGCACCAACAAATAAGTAAAAATGAGACTTTCTACAAACATGATGAGTTAACCTCTTAGTACCCAAAGCCACAAGAGGAAGACTCACAGATTTGCCTTTCACGAGTAGAGCACAGCATTGGATTCCAGCCATCAGCATCTTGTGTGGGTTCCAGGCCACAGAGTTGGCCCTATTATGATGAACAAAGAAAGGGGCAGATTTGGGAGGGAGCCCATTTAGTTTCTGTTGGCAGAAAGACAACTACTCTCTGATGCACCCACCTGCACTTAGTTCCCAGACCCAAGTTACAGCTCTGTAGGAGGCTCCATAGGAGGCCTTGTCTGAGGTTTGAAAAATTTGAAAGTGTTTCTTATTACTGTTTTATTTTAGCAAAACAACTACTTTTTTGGGGGGGCCTGTTTTTAAAATATCGCTTGGAAGGGCAAGTCCAAAGAGGTCTTTTCTCTACATAAAAGCCAGCTGCAAGCTAGGAAACTCCACTTACCTGTGGATGCCATGCAGAAGCTGGCGGTGCTTCCTTGACATCAAAGCTGAGCCACCCCAAGAAGCCTGTGGAGATATTTATATAAACAAGAAACCATTATTCAACATTACTTTTTACCAATGGGTGGTCATAGAAAACCTTCAGGGATGATTTCAATCTGCACAATCTGGTGTCTTTCTTTCTTTCTTTCTTTCTTTCTTTCTTTCTTTCTTTCTTTCTAATTTTGCTAACATGTACACCAGTGAATTTTAAAAATGTTTTATATTTATTTTTTATTTATTTATGTATTTGATACAGGGTCTTGCCAGCAACTCTGACTCGTAGTGATCCTCCTGTCTTAGCCTCCCCATTGCTGGGATTACAGGCCTGTGTCAAGCTATCTCCTCAGCCCCACACCAGGGAATTTTGATCACTGGCTCTAATTTCATCATCACAGGTGAGCCCCACTGAGCCTTAGAATATAAATACATACATTATAAAAAATTGACCTTTTAGCTGAACATTGAACTTTATGTTGAGAAAACAAGGTTTAAACGGTGAAGGCCACGTCCCCTTGAAGCCCAGAATCCAAAAGAGATAAAATTTCACTATGCTAACTTCTTGTCATTCATGTTGTGTGATGAGTCGAGGCTAAAGGTTTGAGTTCTAAGCAGTGGCTAAGGCATGTTCCTGACAGAGCGGACAGAGGCTACAGGTGTGCGTTAGGTGAAATTAGACCTTCTTAGCCAAATGGTTTTGAAAAATATCTGCAATTTGCAAGTGGGAAAATAGGAGAGACAAAAGTTAGGAATTGAGGATGTTATTCACTGTAGGGAGACATTTTTTGATCACAGGAGAGGGGAGCTGAGAAAAGAGGATGAAAGGAAATCCCTTAATCAGTTGGTCTGGAAGGAAGGGCAAGGAATCAATGGAAATACAAGGGTCACTTCGGTCTTTAAAGACTGAACAGACGCCCGCATTTAATCTCCAGCACAATGAGAGGGCTGCAGGGCGGGCTGGAGAGGCCTCGCTGGAGCTGCACTGAGCTCCATGTTGACTTAAATCTTACAGCGACCTCTTCAGGATAGAATGATGGTTGTCCCCATTTTAATGTAAATTAAGTTTTAGAAGACATAAATTATTCAAAGTCTTACAGGCAATAAAAATCATATCTGGGATCCCAAACCCATTTTCTTGTCCTAATACTTATCTATCATGACTTACGGATGCTTGGCTTTGGGAAGGAACGCAATAGAAATTCATTAGGCAATGGAGCCGTTCAAGAATTCCCTAGGGGAGGGACCAAAATCTCCTATTTTAACCATAGACTATAAAGACAGATCCTGACAACAACAGGAAGAAGTGTGAAGACCGTGTGCAGCTAGGATGTGGGAGACGAACAACATGAGGCATCGCGGTGCTTCTCAGAGTATTACCAGAGCTGGGACGACTGGAAGCTAACAAAGCACAAGCACCTGAGTGACCCTAAATCCCATTATAAACCTACTCTCTCCTTCAGGACTGGGCCTACGACTCACTGGGTTGTACAATTCACTCCGAGTGAAAGCACTTTTAAATTTAGTCCCAGGACTCTCCCTTTATTACTGAAAGGAGTTAAACCGAGAAAAAAAATTCTCTTTTTTCACTTTATGTTCAACTCCATTCCATGAGGTCCCCTAAGGTTTTCCAGCTCTGATGAGACTCCGGGTTGGTGAAGGTTGAATCCCAGTTTCCCAGGGAAGGGCTGATGACTTGGGGGTGGCAGTCAACCGTTAATCTTGCTGTATTTTCTCCCCATTGGGATTCAAGTTAGACCATGTGTGACTACGCCCAGGTTTCAGCAACACTTACCTTCAGCATTGAGAAACATGCTACCATGGTTTACTGATTAGTGATTCCAGGATCTAGATTATAAGATGTGTTCTCAAACATTAGGACACTGCCCATGCTTGGGTCTCCTTTCGCCACACACCCTTCATACCAAGTTCCCTACCTGTCTCAATACTTTTATCATTAAACCTTATTGAGAAGCTGCCAGTGAGACCAGGGCAAGGGTTGAGGTGCAAATGTTGTCTGGCCCCACTTACTCTCTTTCCACCTGTCTTCACCCTTCTGTCTGCTCTCCCTCTGCTTCCTTCTCTCCATAAAAGTCAAGACATTCTCCTAACCCCAGTGAGCTGGACTCAAGATTTAAACCACACAACCTCTCTGAAGGTATTAGTTCACTGGTTAACAAAGTTACAGGGCTAGAAATTGCTCGTTCTCAAATTTATTACTCACAAGGGTTAAATAGAGAAAAAATATCTTTTTTCAATATCCTACTTTTGTGCTCCATTTTCTAAATTCTTAACTCAACAATTTAAAAAGACACATGAACCCAACCACCTACATGATGTAGAAGCTTTGTACTGTGTCTCTATGGAAACCTGTCATATACTGCGTTAATATTTCATAATAAGCACCACAGTATATCGCTTTATATATTTTCTCTTTAATTAAACAATTAATAAAACAACAGGAGAAACACTCTTGAAAGAGGGGTAAAGAAGGAATGGAATCAAGATTTTACAGCTTCTGAAACCAGTCCTTTGAGACACAATACTTGCAATCTTGCCTGGGCCTTGGTATGAACAATTTGTGAGCAAAGAGGAAGCTTTTGAGAAGCCAACAGCCTCTGCTTCCCAGAAGAGCTGGGCCACCCTGAGCTGGTCTGACATAGAGGCAGGAATCACATTCATGCTGACAGGCAAAAAATGATACTGGAGGCCAGAAAGCCTCACAAAACTAAAGTTTTTTTCTTCTTCATTTGTTTAAAAATGCATAAAATTTACCAAATTTAAGATAACATCAAATATAAGATTTAGGTCAAAACAATTGCTGAAATTTTATTAATATTTTACCTTTAAAATTTATAAAGTCATAAAACAAAGTTATGAATCATAAATTAAATAAATTATAAATAAATGAGTAACCAAGGATATATGAAGTTTCTTCAATTAAGCTATAGACTTCTGTAACAAAATTCTATCAGCAGATGTGATACCTGCAGTAGTACAGAGTGGCTAAGCGCTACCAAAGTGCTGGTGCTAACTCATTTCTTTAATTGGACAGAACACCTTATGATAAATTAAGTCTCACATTATAGGCATTCTCTAGATGCCCACTCTACACAAATAAGATACTTTAGTGGAACTTAAATGTTTCCTTTAAAATTGTTTTCTTTGAAACTCCAACCTTTAATTTTTTCTACACAGCTTTTCATTCTCTCCTACTTATAAATCACAATTGTCTCTAAGTGGAATAAATCTCTTAATATCCTACCCAATTTAAACATGGATATAGTTACTCTGTTTTCCATTAAGTATATAATCCATATGCAGTGTTTCTTTTATGAGAGTAGAGTATTTAAGCATAACTACTGATGCATTTGATTGTTTCTCCTCATTTCCACAGTGAAGGAAGTATTCCCTTCGTAATATCTTTTAGGACATAATGTATTGTTATGCTTCTAAGCCTATAAAAATCAATAAGACATAAGTTGAAATGGGAACAGATACAAATACTAAAATCGCATTTAAAGGAGTCACAAATAATCTACCTGAAGTATTGCTACTGGCATGCTATGGAGCCTCTGACTGTAGTGAGCTTTTATTACCTGAAGAATTGCTTTACCGAATATTAACATACACTTAATGAAAACCTTGAACTGTTGAAAAATTCTCTCCATACCATATCATAGAAACTTTACTCTGAAAGCATAAAATCATCTGAACCTTAAGTGTGTGTACCTCCCTCAAATGCTGTTTGGTCTGTTCAATAGGTCAAACAATATTTCTCCTGATGTGGAGGGTCTAACTCATTTGCCTACCTGAAGAAGGGTCTCTAACGTCTCATCTGCACATACAACTGTTCCTTTTCTTGGATAAAAGCAAACAAATTAATTCCTGGTTTCACAAAATAAAAATCAAAAATGAAAGAAGGAAAATCGGAAAGCTTAACAAGCATTTCTGAATGTCTGAATTGAACATTTTAACCCTGGATAAGTAGATTGTTAAAAGTTATATTTAATTTAAGGAAAAATTTATTATGAATAACCCAAGGACTCATAAAATTAATTAGAAAAAAGTCAATCTTTCAAGTTAGAAAATGAGAAAGAATGTAAGTTATCCTATTCCCTTCTCAAATTATTATCTATGGTAGATCCAGATAAAACCTGCTTTAATTATATCATGCAATTATGTAATGCAGGGTTTTTAAAAAATTTTATGGCTGATCAGAGTCGTATAATTTTAAAGTGAGACAATAAAGACCACATGAGTCCTTCCCTTCTGTAAATGAAGAAACTGAAATCTCAAGAGCTGAAATTACAATGACGAAAAGGCAGATTATAATCTAAAAACAAAGTCTCTTGATCCCACTGTCTGAAAGCTGTTCCTGACCATGCTGTCTTACTGATTCAGGGGACAAAAAAAGATGGTTCATGGGAGATCAGCAGGTAAACTGGAAGCCAGAAAACTGGATCAAAATTTACTTTGCCTTGGCCTCTTCTGCTTTATCCCTTAGAGCGGAGGACATGGTTAATTTCCCCATGTTAGAAACACAACTAAAAGCAATATGGTTTTCACTTCTATTTTCTGAAAGCATGAGAAGCTACAGAAAGATCAGGACATTCCACAAATGCGTGCACACTTACGTCCACGTGGAGCCAGAGCCCGTGTCTCTCACAAACATCTGCAATTTCATCCAGGGGATCGAAAGAGCCCAGCACAGTCGTTCCAGAGGTGGCACAGACAAGAAATGGTGCTGCCCCCTGTGAGAAGAACCCACACACAGCATGTCACTGTTGCCACGAACTATGTCCTGTGGCAAGTTAGCAGATACGAAAGATAAATCCAGAGATGTGTATGACTTCTTTGGGAAGAATCATTAATTCAATTGGGTGTCTTTAAAGTTTCACACTATAGGTGGGCCTCTTGTGTTACAGACAGGATAAAGAACCTGAGAAAATGTTACAAGGAAAGCCATCTCCTGTCCCAGCTCAATACTTAGTCTTGTTATTATTGCTCTTATTTTTTTCCTGTAATATTTTCTATGCTAAAGATGGCCTAGGTAAGAAGGGAGTATACTCAACAGCATGGCAAGCTGACATTCTGTATGATCTTCATTAATGCCTGGGGAAATACACAGGCCCACATGATGCTGGTATTGTCATCCTTCTCCAAAACAAAAAGAAATGGGCTTGGAAGAAAAACACCCAGCTGAGGGATAAACCTTGCCTGATACAGATTCAGCAAACTTTGATTAGAGGATAAGGCAAGTGAAAGCATTCTCTGCAGGGGTAATGAAACAGAGAAATTCACTGGAATGTTCTGGAAAAGAGCCTGCATCATTCCTACCCTGGTTATTCTTCCTCATAAAGAAGGTGCTGCATCTTGTAGAACGATCAGATGTCAGTGAGAAATGGAGGAGAAAAGGGACAGTGTGGAGCACGCACAGGCATGAATGGTGTTCACAGCCACACTAACCAGGCACTTTGGCGCCATGAGGGGACTTTACACTAAGCAGGCAGAGGAAGAGGACAGGAGGTTTGTTTCCAAATATATCAATCCCAGTGTGGTGTGGTAGAGATGCTTTACAACTCCAGCAGTACACTGAGGGGAAAACTTACAGACAATGTGGGGTTGTGGGGAGCATGTAGAATCTAAGGATTCTAGAACACTTGAGGCAATCTCACTCTGCTGCCTATGAAAGTCGTTTTACCTCTGTTTAGCACAGAGCCATTTTTTCTTCACTGTCATCATGAACACATATTTACTGCAGCACATTTTATGGCCTTTGATGCTAGTGTGGCTGTGTTTGAACCAAAGACATTCCAATTTAACTGACCTGTGACAGAAAGATGTTATTTCTCAACAGAAAGTGGGGCAGAGCAAGTACACCTGGCCCCACATCTCCAAATTGAGATGCTCGGGAGTCAAAGTGGTAGCACATAAGGAATCCAGTTGCCATTGGGGAGACAGCTGTGATTCAATTGGGTCTACCCCAAACCTCTCACAGCCGGGTCAGGAGGTGACAGAGCCCCTGGGGAACCATGGGCTTTGCAAATTCTTCCCTGTCCTCAACCACAACAGATTAAGTCTTTATCATGTCAGTGACCTAGATGAAATGAGAACAGATTGACATCAATCATTCAGAGCAACAGAGAAAGTAATTTACTGTAACTGTTTAATGTGTCGTTAATGGTTGGGCTTTTCCTCATAAACTGTGTGACATCCTGACAGTCATGAGATAATACCTGTGCAAGCTACTATAGCCTATTAATGAGTTTTTCTCACCTCTTAAAAAAATCCTGCTATAAATATGAGGGCTAGAAATTAAACTTTTGCAATCTTCCATATATTTTTCTTTCTTATGGTATTAATGAGAAACTCCAGTATGAATCACATGCTGCCAAAGAGCTATAATCTCTACAAAAGTTTGTCCTTTCAGATGCTTATGTTCACAAATACCTCTGAAATATTCTGAGATCATACTAGCCTGTGCTTATCAATAATCATGTTAGGACTTCTGCTATTTTGTGGACTTTACTGTCTTTATAATGCAACAAACAAAAGTCACTTTTAAGGGTTTGTCCACGGCTAGAGTTGATTCCCAGAAAAAAAAAAGTAAAACAAGAACATGGTGATGTGCTATTTCCTTCATCTGAAACAACACAGGTAAAAGTCTGAAAGTAATTAGGCCTAAATTACTGCAAGAAACAAACTGCACATCATGTATTATTATCTTAGGATGGATGCAAGATTAGTCTGTGGTCAACCTAGGCTCAAGTATTCTGATTTAAAAGAAAATTTAGGAGATACATTGACTGTAACTCCACTGCCCTCCTTTTATATGTGTCTAAGGCCATTTTTGCTTTTTAAAAACATCTTTTGTAAAATTCTCCTCTTTAGAATCATTTCAGTTTCATATGCTTTCATTGCCAACACAAAAATATTTGCACAACAGAACAATAATGCTGGCAGTGGAGTAAAACCCACTGTGGTAGATATATGAATTGCTAATGATACTAAAAGCAATTCAGGGGACTAAATTCAGGATAGGAAGAAGTGACTATTTTGAAAATTAGTCAATGATAGGGAAAAAATAAAACATGTATCCTGCTGTGCTTCTCCGAGTTGCTTCCTTGGGGAAATCAAATGGAGATGAGGACACATAATTCTTTATAGAAAAAGATGCCGGCCAATAAATAAAGAAGGGACAAGACAGCACGTTGACCAAAACATCACTTAGTGAAATAATGGTTCTGAACAATGATGGTCCATAGCAGCAAAATTCACGGGTGCTGCCTGTGGTGGATGAGCTGAGTGTACCAAATGCCACCCACGGGTGTCGCTCAGCAGCAGACACCGACTGGGCTGTCTCAGGGTGGAAGGACACAGTGAAGCCTTCCTGACTAAAATCCCAGCTTGATCTCATGGAGCTTCACAGGAAATTCAGAGCGCAGAGGAGGGAGCGCTCAGGGTGTCAGTCTCAGGTGCACTCAGTGAAATCCACAAGGCCCCCTACAGGACAAGGGCCTGGCTTCTATAGCATATCACTATTGGGGTAAAAATGAGGAAAGGGAGGAAGGGATGGATTAGGAAAGATTTATCTGACATGTCAACTAATGCAAAGCATTTCAATCCTTGATTTTGTTTTTGTTTGACTATTTAAACAAGACAACTATTTAAAAAGTCAGTAAAGAGATTTTAATATTGACTGAATACTTAATAATATTAAGAAACTTACTACTTTTAGGGCCTGGGGAGATAGTTTGGTTTAAGAGCCTGCCTGGCAAGCACAAGGACCTGGATTCAATCCCCTGCACCACATGCCATGCAGGCCCTGGAACCCCGGGCACGCCATGCAAGCAGTGCTAGGGAGGCTGAGATTCAGGAGGATCACTACAAGTCTGAGATGGGTAGCAAGATATTGAATCAAATAAATGAATAAATAAATGATTTTTTTAATTTTAAATAAAAAAATAAAGTTACTACTTTTAAAATCTGATGAAAGTATTATTTTTAAGATATTGTACCTTCTTTTTCATTCTCTGTTTTTTGAGACAGGGTCTCACTGACCTTAAACTTGCAGCAATCCTTCTGCCTTGGCTTCCTGAGAGCTGAGATTACAAGCATGCACCACCATGCCAAGCTTGAGAGAAGACTTATCTTTTACAGATCTACTCAACTATTTATTAAATGAATGGCACTTGAGGATAATCTGGAGTTTGCTTCACACTGCTCTAGCAGTGTTGGGAAGGGATGGTGTGTAGATGAGGGAGGGAGGGAAGAAGGGAGGGAGGGAGGGAGAGAGAGAGAGAGAGAGAGAGAGAGGCAGAGACAGAGATGGACAGAGCAAGAGAAAGAGAGGGGGAAAAAAGAGCAAGAGAGAGACAGAGATACAGAGAGAGTGCGAGCGTGAGCGAGAGTGTGGAAAGGGAAAGGGAAGAAGGAAAGGAAGAAATAAGGAAGCAGTAATGGGAACCATGAAAAAAGTACAAACAGTGTTTCCCACAAATAAGAATTCATGATAAAATGAAAGTTTTTTTTTTAAGTAGGCGATTCTGTAGTAAACATTGAAACTAAAACTAGAAAGCACTATCTATGGTTCACAGCACAATAAACTACTCACAAGTGTTTTGTGGAATTTTACCCGCAAATCAAGAGAAATATGATAAGCTACACCACCTTGTCATTAGAATATTAAAATGGTCCCATCTACTTGCCATCAGAATGTTAAAGACGCATGTACGCTCAGGGATACAATCCTGAAGCCTTGGCATCCACAATCACAGCAAGCATTTTTTTTTAAATGGACTTAAAATTAAGCATATCAATTAGCATGCCCTCAAAGCAATTTTTATGAAACTGTAGGTGGTTTTTATGGAAATTTGAAAAATATAAAGAATATAATGAAATAAGTTCAATATTAAAACTGAGAAGAAAACGACTCAAGGTTTCAGCGTAGGAGCCCCTGTGAGGACAGATGTGCTTGTACCCAGCTTAGGTCACACCTGACTGCACTGCCACCATGAGCAGTGATCTGAATCTCCATGAACAGCAGGAAGGAACATGCCAGGGCAGGAAGCGGTGCCAAGGGAGCACCACACCCAGCAGGCTTGGATCCATCCAGCAAGCAAAGTGCCTGGCACCAGAATAAGAAGCCCTCTCTTTAAAAAGCAGGTGTTGGGACAGCTTTATTTGATCACTGCAGAAAACCACTATTCCTTGGCTTATCCAATAATGGACATTTCAACCTTAAACTATTCAATCCAGGAAACATATTGCCACTGAACTCTTACACCTGGCCCCATTGTGAGGTGCTACTCACATACAGGCTTTGGGTTGGAAGCAACTAGAATCACAGATTGATTAAGGAATCAAGAGTCATCCTGAAAGCAGCCCAGGTTTAGCCTTCACACTGGTTAGAGGGAGGAGTCAGTTAAGAGGATGCTGGGGCTCTGCTGGAGAAGCTAGGGTCATCTTTAGGGCTTTCTCTAGCCAGGAATACTGAACAATGGTCATGGCATTATTTTAACAGGCTCCAGCCACATGGGGTGAGAAACTCCACAGAACATAGTGAACCAAGCACCCGGAAGTAGAACATCCATAAATGAGTTTCCCTACTTTAACTCCAGCACACTCTCCTCTTCTCTGCCCCACATATAAAATTGGATTTCACTGTATACCCTCCTCTTCCCCCCTATCTTTCATTCTCCCCCTCCCTCCCTCCCTTCCTCCTTCCCTATTTCCCTCCTTACCACTTTTCTGGCTTTCAGGACCTGCTTTTCCAATTCCTCAGGTATCATTTTACCTCTAAGGAGTACAAATTTAAAAGTCAGTTATATTATTCGTTCACAGGCACTGACGCTACTTTTTAAACAGCATGAATTAACCCTCCACTCACCAGCCCCCAGTCCCATCCCCATTACCTTCCATCTGTTTCCACAAAGCACACGTTCTCAGTGCCAATCCCCAGAAAAGACGCTGACTTCTTCACAGAGTAATGACACTGAATTGAAGGGGGAGAGGGGAAGGGAGAGAGACAAATGTACTGGACAGCATGAAAAATGCATTCCTTTGTGTCTAAATGGGTGTGGGGCTTTGTAGAACAGCATCATCTGCACGAAAACAGTGATCTACTTGAGGGTCTTAGTCTACAGAGAATGTGGACTTTGTGCTCATATTCGCCAGAATTCACAGAGCATTGAACAAGCAAGGTGCATCCTCTAAGCTTCATTTTACTAATTTCTAAGTAGTTCATTAGCAATTCCTCTTCTGTTGGCTGGTTATAGAAGGTAAGGGGTTAATGCACCTGAAGGGTTTACTGCAGTGCCTACCTTACAGAACAAGCTTGGTCCCTGGAAGCTATTATCTTTCATAATAAAAACAGAAAAAAAATTTTCTTGATGCTACTAGTAAGGCTCACTATTAGTGGAATCTTAGAATCTTAGTGCACGACTGACTCAAACCCTCTGAGGAGAAAGCTAGACCGTATCTCGAGATCACATTCACCGACTGGAGAAGAGCTTAATGATTTCCAGGAGCAGACCATGGGTTATGAATGCTGACCAGACACTCGACTGATTTCAGTTAATACTGAACACAAGGCTGCAATCAGACATTCAGGAATGTGGCTAAAAGCAGAAGAACAAAGGTAGTGTTAAGTTATAGACAAATACTCAGCTATGGCTCCGGTAAGGCTGATAGTAAGGCTGGAACGGGATCCGACCTACTTCATAGGGGCAGATAGTAATACGTAGTATAGATTGTTGGACCTTTTCCCTCCACCACATGGAGCCTATAAGGTAATTAGCATGCAAATGTTGGAGATGTCATTCTTTATGTATTATTGGGGACAGGTGGTCAATTAATTCTTTTTCATGCCAGAAGAATGAAGGTGCTAAAGGATATTATCGTACCAAAAAAACCTTAGTAATTTAATTTGTAGGTATGAATACATTATAAAAGTAGTCATGCCTTCACATTTAACTTGATATATTCCCTCAAATGTGGTAATTTTTTCCTTCTTTTGTCAAGAGAGTTTTATTGGGAGCTCTTTTTCTAACTCTGTAAAAATAAAATGCAGAAGTAGCACCATCAGGAAAAATGAAACTATCCTAAATAATTAATTTCCAAAGATCAAATAGGACACATCCAAACTGCCTGTAGGATGCATTTATTTTAGGTTGTTACAAGAACATATGCATAGTAAAGAGCAATAACGTATATGAAAATGTAATTAATTCTCTGCTAGCTACACCAGCCAGTGCTGGTTGGTGGGAACACCTCTGCTGTAGCTAAGGTAAAACATCTAAAATAAATTATTTCTCACCAGACAGTTGGGCTCTGGAAACGGAGCAGCCAATGATAAATGCTAGCTTACCCCTACTGACATCTGACTATAAGGAAAATAGCAGTGCCCTACCCTAGAGAAATAGCAAAATATCTCCAACCAATAGATGCACAGGATCAAAATCTTGTCATCAGAATAAGAATAGCTTCAGTGGAGCTATCTTTCAGCACCTCAGGACAAAGCACAGCCCAATGTCAATCTTAAATGTACAGGGACAGATTAAAAAGTTTGAAAAACTGAAGCTTAACTATCTGAAAGCATCAGAGAAGGAAAAGGCTTCTGGGAGGGGAGAGAAAGAAAGAGAGATGCTTCAGACATGCTGAGTAGTTTCAAGGAGAGGAAAAGCCCAGAAGGCTGGAATTCAGAAGTAACATCTGCATTTAGGAACAAACGGTGGTTGTTCCCAGCACTGGCAAAAGATAAGTCAGTTGTTCTAAGACCCAGCCTCACCATAGGTTCCATAAATCTATAAAGGCTCAAAAATCTCAGTGGGTGCTCATTTCCATAAAGATAAAATGGCAAGTACCCATATGAGGGAGCCGGAAGCTAAAATTGTACTTTGTAGTTCGTGAAAGGGTGTTACTTTTCTTTTGCCCCCCATGACCTTGGCTTTTTCAATGAACTTCTGCTTTCTCCTCTCTGTGCACTGAAACTGGAAACACAAATCCTTTCTAGTCCTGATTAATTTGATGCTTAAATTAGCTTATAGAAAAAAGCAGAACTTATAAATGTTATACTTTAGAAAAGGAAGAAAAGAAATACTCAGAGGTGTTTTCCAAAACTGTACAACTTATTCAATTCCTAAAGAATCCAGAGCTAGAATGCAGATGGAGTGACTTCAGCCTCATGCTCGGCCATTCAGCTTAAGGGACACCTTCCTGCCTGTCGAGAGGGACTGAAATAATATTCAAACCCAATGTAGGCAAGAGGGTTAAAGGAGACGCAATCCTGAGACCTTCACTGCAAACATCTCACTTGTGTCCCACCTGGAGCCCCTCTAAAGAAGAACTATTCCCATACCCTGGCTGGAGGTAAGAGTCTCTTTTTAGTGGTAGACAATGATCATTACTTCCTGCTGAGTTCAAAAATGATTTGAAGTCCTCAGGACCTTTACAAACCTAGGATTTCTACAGGAATCCAAGAAATTCATACCAAAGTGTTAGTCAAGTCATACAGGCGTTATGCATTTCTTCTCTTAAAGACCTCTGAGTATTTCTTTTCTTTCTTTCTATAAGCTTTTTCTCCAAAAGCTCCCTTCAATTTGATTGCATTTAGCACTGAAGAGGCTATCTTGGATACAATGATGGGACAGAGGTCTCTATCATGATCTTGCAGGTCTTTACTTATTAACAGCTGCCTTATGAACAAAACATTAAAGTCAGCATAAAGACCATCAGTGGTGGGTCCACAATTCTATACTTGATGGTAAAGAGAAGGATGGAGTAATCTGGGGCAGCATAAAGTCTGGAAATGCCTGCCTAATTCAACTGTAGAGGAACACGTCACGTGACATGGAGGGAAGGCCTACAAGAAAACAATGGAGGTCCAGCAAAAAGGCTACTACAGGTTTAAGATTGTTTAGTAAACACATTCTTTAACTCTTTCTTGGCTAAATAAAGGATCTTGTTATAATAAATGAAGAAGCTGGTCATTAAAATATAAGTTAATTTAATGCCAGTGCGTTGAACCAAATCTCTTTCGCAGATCAGAAAAAGGGAGGAGCTGCAGAGCAGGGTCTGCGTGGGTGTGGTGAAGAAACATTTTCCTTCTTCAGGTTGCTCATGCTTGGTATTTTTTCACTGTATTGCAAAAATTGACCACAGATAGGTACAGCATGTGCTCTTGATACCATGTGTTCAGAAAGGTCCTTTACATCTATGACCTTTCTTCTAAAACACAATAGCCCAGCATAAGCATGCAGCAGAACCACAGACAAATGCCATGAGCAGGACCTTACACAGAGGAAGCAAAAGTGGCAAAAAGACAGAGGGACTCACTGGAATCAAAAAGAAAAAGAAAAATGTGAAAGATAATCCTCAGATAAAAACTGCCTTAGGCTGAACCTTCTATCTCTGCCTACCTTGTCGTAGCTGGATGCTTTTCCTCCTATTAATAATAGTGAACACTTCTTACTGTTGTGTGTCAGATCCTACTCTGAATGCAGTAACTTTAATGTTAGCAATGACTTACTCATCAGCGATGATTTCATGGTTACTTGGGTGCTTTCAAAGCCCTCAGCTGTTCACTGCTCCTGGTATGAAGCCCTTTCCCATATGATCTTGCAAAAATTTCCATTCTGAGTCTGAGTTCGGGGGTATAGCCTACTCTCCCAAAGGATAAGGTAGAAGTGATTGTGTGCCAGGTCTGAGATTAGAGCTCAAGGTCTGGTTCTTGTCACCTGCACCTGTAGCACTGCCTTCAGTACACATCCAGAGACTGTCTGCTGGAAGCACACAGAGCAGAGGGCAATCACCGGCATCACATAGGGGAACCACTTCCAGATTAATAATGGGCCAGCCAAACCTTGGGCGTAGGAGGGAACCCAGCCAAGAGCAGCAAAGCTGCTGAGATGTGCAAGCTATAATGTGTGGTCATAAGATCTACGCTATTGGGCTTGTGTATAATTTATTAGATATAAGTACCTCTCATTTTTATAAATGAGGGAAACAATGCACAGAGAAGTCAATCGACTTATCCAAAGTCACTCAGATAGCTGCCGATTGAGATAGGAATGTAATGTACACATCTTAGCTCAAAGCCAGTGCACTTACCCGTATTCTGTCCCCCTCCTTTAGTGGAGATTAAAGTGAAAGAGAACTAAGTATGGCGACACCCAGTTATATATAAGTATGCACGTGTTCACTGTTGCTGAATATGTCCTTTTCCACTTGAAAGGGAAATATATACCTTCATATTAGCCAATCAGAGCAATTTTACAAGTAGATAACATATTTGAGATCAGTAGTGATCATCAAAGGTCTAAGAAAGAAGACACTCAACAGAAATCCATACTACTTTCAAATTAAATATTCTTTCCCTAAATAAAATGATACAGAGTAGAAATTTGAAATAAAATTAATGTATAAAATTGGGAGGCCAGGAGTTTCAATGCCTGGTCATTAGTATATCCTTTGGAATGCAGTATTACACTATACATAAATATATTAATCACTTATGGACAGGACAGTCACAACAACAGTCTTCAAGCAAACAATGCTGCTAAAATAGTTCATTCTCAGAAAATCTGTATCTGATATCAAGAATAATATTTTACCTCCTCAGATGTGAAAAGGATTAATCTTGGCAACCCCGACAGCCCCTTTTCCTTAACATCAGGCCAGTATTTGTATCTAGCTAGATTCATTGCATACATATTGGACACTGATCCACCTGCAGGAGCAAAATTAGAACATCATATTTACAGCATGACTTTACAGCACCCTAAGTCCTGAATGCAGAGGCAAGCATGAACGGCTAATAACCAAATCACACTACGCACATTGAGATTCCTCCCCAAAACATATTAAAGCTGAAATGGGGGCAAAGCAGAGAAATACAGAGGGATAACTAAACTGAGTACTTGTACAAAAAGTAAATAGAATAAACACCATCCCCATCCACTATGCTGAATATTAGTTTTGTACACTCCTCACCCTCCAATTCCAGAACCTTTCAATTTCAGCAAAGAAAAGTATTTCCAACTATAATGTCATTCTAGGATTCTTCCAACATGTAAGTTTCAGTCTAGCAGCCTTGGACTTATGGCCAATACCCAAATCTCTAAGTAATAATATTCTTTATTAGCTGATAAACTTAAAATGATATTACAAGCTCATTCTTGGCTCCAACAAAGGACAGTAGGACGAGCAAATGTAATTTAGAAACTTGGTCAGATAAAATTGATTTAAAAATTTGAAAGACTCATCAGAGCCTTTCCAAACCCCCAATAGCAGATATATTGATCTGTGTTAGATATAAACCCTAGATTATAAACATCTCAGTAAATATGTATCTCATTTACTTGTCATTTGTGAAAAATATTATCTCTCTAGAGAGAGAGTCACAAACTATATGATTACCTAGTAGCATATCCTAGTAATATCCAACTTGTTTTTGTAATCTGTAAATCTACTGTGAGTTGTTCCTCAACTGAATACATTTTTAGATGCTCATAGTGCAAGAGTGATGGAAATAACTAATTGTAACTAATTGTACTCACCTGGGTTAAATATTCCATCTCCTTCTTGCCAGCCAATAAATTCAATCATTTTCTTCAGAACTGCTTCTTCCACTAATACAAACACTGGGGACACCTCATACGTATAACTAGATAGATATAAAGAACACTTAACTTCTATAACTAGTGTCAAAACATTTCTTTGGTGTCTGAAGAAATGCAACTCTATGATTTCATTAAATGAAGTGGCTGCTCAGGTGTAGGTAGTGTTTGGAAATAGAGAAACACTTTATCAGTAATGGTGCTGTCGTGGTTATATAAGTGCCAATAGATGGTGGTCTTGGAGATCTACAAGCTTTTTAAGCAATCTGAGTTTGGACAAAACCCTTTAGTACATGAGCAGAGCAAAAGGCAAGGCATCAAAATACTGTATTAGTTATGGACAGCAGCTCTTTCATTCTTAGGATGCTTTGAATACTGCACTGGATTCTGATGCTGAAAAATCATTGTCTTGATAACAGCGTTTTTTAAGGTTTCCATTTTGAGCATCCTAACAGTCAGAGCTAGACATTCTACATGGGTGTCCTAGACCAATGTCTCCTCCACCACACACCCCCATATGGGAGATGTGCTGTGCCAAAGCCATTGTGCTGTGATGCTCTTACTGCCAAACTCCATCTGGATCCTCTGTCAACAAAAGACCTGCTGTTGTAGGCTGGATGTTGTTGTCAGAGAGCCTGGCTATGTTAGCCCCACAGGGATTAGCTCAGCTACAGGGAGCTGGTCCCCCAGGTCACAGGGCTTCTCAGGGTGGTCCACACTTGGTGACTCATCACTACAGACCCACTTGGGGTCAGCTGAGATGGTCATCCAGCCTAGAAAGCAGTCTGGCTCCGGTACCTCCTTCCCTACTCTGCTGGGTTCCCAAGGGTGCTCCTTAATGGGCATCATACCATACTTGTCCCCAGGATTTACCTAGAATGGCTTCCTAGTGACCCTAAACTACATCCATTACTGCACCTTATTTCAAAATGTTTGGGTCTCTTCTCTATGCTAGATAACTGGAGGGTAACTAAACATCTCTAATCTTCTCAATTAGGTAATTACATTAAATGTGAAATAAAGTTCTATTCTAATATGCAGGCTAAACAGATGCATTTCAATTCGGCTACAAAATTGAATGAAATTACTGCAACTTCTGAAAGGAAAAGCTTTGAAATAGAGACAAGAAAAGTGAGCACCTACTATGTATCACTCGCATGCTAAGCACTCCATGAGTATTATACCACTTTAAAAATAACATTGGCTATTTCTAACAACTGATGCCTGTTTGTACATACCACATATAGGAAAAGGTATATATGCTTGCATGAACCCTAATGTAAACAAAATAATTATTTATTTTTATAACAAAAAGTTAGTATCATATCTGTCATGGAGAACTAGCTGAAATCTACACTTTGGAATAGGCCTTCAGGTGGAGGGGAGGATGGAATGAA